AAGGTTGTAATTTGGGAGAAGGGAAAGTCAAGAGCAAGATCACCTTTCCGTCACCAAGAAGAAAGGCTGGGTGTCGAAGGAAATTGCCACTATTAGTTGGTCTCTGAGCCTGCCTCTCAGCATCTGCACTGCCGTGACCCTGCCCTCCATCACCAGTGACCTAAAAATCACATAATTTCAACTGTTCATGAAACCTCTTCCTGTCTGTTGTACATAGCTTGTGCACTTACCCCCTCTATTGCCAGCAAGTATGTGTAAATCTTTTTACCTCATGGCTAGCCTTCTGTTATTGGCTGGCTGGCTTTCTTGCTTCTTCTTGTGTGTGTTTACTCAGTCGCATCAGTCCTGTCCGACTCTTTGTGACGCTATGGACTGTAGCCTGCCTGGCTTCTCTGTCTTCTGTGATTATCAGATGAATGCCTTAAAGTATTTCCCCCAGATCTTTTCGTTATCCTCCTGTCCTCCTCCCTTGATAATCTGCTAAATGCTTCCCTTGCTGAGTATGAGGCATAGTCATCTTATTTTAAAAAGCCACTGTAGATATTTCTGATAGACATTAATTTTCTTTGGGAACCATGGTAGACTAATGGCTCAACAGGCCTTTGAAAATTGCCATTCATCGATCCTAAAAAGTTATTTTATACACCAGACAATCTGTCTTTTTGTATTGAAGCAGCACTTTATAGGCTGCCCAAGTTTCTTTAAGGGAATACTTAAATTAGTTGCGATAATTTGTTGGTGGATGGATGTATGCACACATACACATGTATGTAACTATGTGTTCAACTCTTTAGAATGTTGGAAGGTGAGTAGTTTATAATCTGTCTTTGAGTCTAATTGCTTAAAATGGACAGTTTTTGTCTTCATATCACCCCCAAGATAGCCATTGAGATGTTAAGTAATTATTTTACTTCATACATAGCAGAGAGTCAGGATAGGTTTGTAAAGGAAATAAATAAATAGCAGCCTGTTTCTTTTCAGGAACTGTTCCAAAGTGTCTATGTAGTAATTTATAAATAAACCTGAATCTTTGAAACAGTAAAGATGCTCTCTAAAGATAATCTTTTAAAACCTCTTACATAATAAAAACTTTTTAAAAGACTTCATTTCTTCTGCAGTACAGCAACTATACTCCAATAAAAATTAATTTAAAAAGCGGTTCATTTTTTCTTTATTTCTGAAGCTACCACCTCTGTACACATCTTGAGGCTCTCTTTCTTCCCCTCTCCCCCTCACACAGCCTGCACAGTTTAAAATCTCAATATTAATTGAAGCTGAGATGATTGTACTGCTGCTGCTAAGACTTCAGCAGGTCTCTTACAAGCTAATGTCACGGCATGGGGTCCATTTGCTCTATGTAGCTATTCTGTGGTGCAGTGAGAATGCCTTGATTAATATGCTGCATGAAAATAAAATGGATTTAGAAAAAAATTATACTATACTCTCATAAATATTAATTCACATTTGTATGGAATTGCACATAATTTTCAATATACTTTGGAGTACCTTCAGTATGAAGAAAGATTTCGTTTCCAAAGAGAGTGGCATAATTTTTTCAAAAAAAAGCACAGCTGATACATTATTAAATATCATTTGTTTATTAATCCGCTACTCCACATCCATATGATGTAGGGCAGTAGGTGGACTGTGTGACAGAGAAAGGCACTTTTCTCCAGGCTGTGGGAGCTTATGTATTACCTTGAGAAGTGGTGCGATTTAATCATATTATATAGAAGCAGTTCATGGTGGGACTCACCTGCCTGCTTCTGCTAGTGTTGCCATTATTCCTGAGTGTTTTTTTATGAGAGCTGACTAAATTGGTTACATGAGTGCTAAGTTGCTTCAGTCGTGTCCTACTCTTTGTGACCCCATGGACTGTTTAGTCTGCCAGGCTCCTCTGTCCATGGGATTCTCCAGGCAGGAATACTGGAGTGGGTTGTCATTTCCTTCTCCAGGGGATCTTCCCAACTCAGGGATCAAACCAATGTCTCTAATGTCTCCTGCATTGGCAGGCAGTTTCCTTAACCACTAGTGCCACCTGGGAAAGCCCCAAATTGGTTAAATGTGAGGCCAAATACTGAGCAGATGTCTGACATAGCTGGTTTTGGTAGTAGACCCTGGACACCATAGCAGACATTTATTGAATATTTGCCATGTGTTAGGCATTGTGTGCAAAGCTTTGAGACTGGAATCAATGGCTTTGTGCACTTACTTCGATCTCAGCTTGTCCCCTAAACACTTCCTCACCGCATTCTCATTGTCTTATGAGAGCTGCCTCTCCAGTGGCAGAGGGTAAACCATCTGCAGTGATAGCAGCTGGAAGTGAAGCCAGAAACCACTCATTTGCCTTAGAAGATTGTTGTCTGATATATTTTTAAGAAATTTTATTTTTGGCTATGCTGAGTCTTTGTCACTTTGCATGGGCTTTCTCTGGTTGCGGCAAGCAGGGGCTTACTCATCCTTGCAATGTGCGGGCTTCTTGTTCCAGGGCTTCCCTTGTTGCAGAGCAGAGGCCCTTGGTGTGTGAGCTTTAGTAGTTTTGGCCCACAGGCCTGGTTTCTCTGCCTCAGGTGGAATCTTCCTGAACCAGGGATCTAACACCTGTCTCCTGCATTGGCAGATGGATTCTTATCCACCATGTCACCAGGGAAGTCCCAATGTTTGATATCATCTTGCCCCAAAGATCAGGCCCTTCCCCTTCTCTGGGACTTTCTGCTGTTTTCTGTGATCCTTCTTGTGTACCACCAGTGCCTGCTTATCCGTATTCCTTGGTTTCCTGTTCCTATCAGCATTCCTAGCTTGCTTCACTCACTCATGTCAGAGGCAGCTTGTAAAGATAGTGTTTAAATTACTCTTGTAGTTTATAGATTTGGATACATTAGCTAGTGGTCTTGCTTATTTAGTGAGCATTAATTTGACCATCTGTTATTTGCCGGGTTCTGTAAGTGAAGCACTGGGCTTAGTACCTGACCTCATTCTTTCAGAGAATCATGCTGCCAGCTGCCTCAGGGCCTTTGCACAAGCTGCTCCCTGTGCCCAGACTTTCAGATCTAGGTCAAGTGGCAGTCATCTCCTCAGCCACAGCACCTCTCGTCCAGACAGACCACTTCCCCCTATTGTAGCATCTGTGATCTTTCTTCTAAAAGAGCTCAGTTTGAAAAAAAAAAAAAAGCTCAGTTTGCAATTACATGTTTGTGTGATTTGATTGGGGACTTGATTGTTTGTTCCCTAATTTCTAAATTCCATGAGGTTGGGGTCTTCTTGCCCCACACAGTTGTTCTCTCAACGCCTGTAGGGTAGTTCTGAGTTTGTACTTGGCATATAAAGGGTGCACAAAAAATATTTGTTGAATGAGTGGAGCCCTGAGAACATTGCTTTGCATCACCAAATGTTTTCCTATAACTGGCAACATTGGGAGGAGGGGGTGTCCTTCAAGTGGAAAAGGGAGGAATATGGAAGAGTGGGCTTTTGAGGTCTAGGCAAAGCAGATGTAAAAGTCCAGGGTCCCCAAATATGGCCATGGCTAAACTTGGGAAGACTTCAGGGAGCACTGTGTGTGTCAGGTCGGGAGTGTGGAGATATTGGGAAGATGAAGAAGAGATAACTGCCCCCAAGAATGTAGGCTGTGAAGGAAAAAGGGAGAGGTATTTTGAGAATGAGAATGGGATGAAGGGGAATTCTTTTTTGGTCTTATTGTATTTTTAAATGTATGTTCAGGATCATAGAAACTGAGAACTTGTGTGCAGATGAGGCTCCAGGAAGGAACATTTTCAGTGTAAGGAGGAACACATCCGTCTGTGCGTGCTTAGTCATTTAGTCGTCTCTGACTCTTAGCAACTCCGTGGACTGTAGCCCACCAGGTCCTCTGTCCATGGAATTTCCTAGGCAAGAACACTGGAGTGGGTTGCCATTTCCTCTTCTAGGGGATCTTCCTGACCCAAGGATAGAACCCGAGTCTTCTGTGTCCTGTATTGGCAGGCAAATTCTTTACCACTGAGCCATCTGGGAAGCCCCAGGAATATGTTCACTCATAAACAAATGATTGAATACCAAATCATTTTAATTTTATTGCTTAATGTGTATATTTCTCAGGGTTCTAAAGGGCTTTGACAGGTGTCAGTCTGATAGTATCTGAGCCCATTTTCCCCACGGGCTCAGAGCTGCAGGGACTTACTCTGAGTTTCATAGTGAATAATATCAGAGTCAGAACCCAGGTCTTCAGCACCTCAGGATGCCCTGACCTGCCTGCAGGCACAGAGCTCACCCATGTCCTGTGACGTGGAGCACTTGTCTGTAGTTCCTACAGGTGCTGTCCCCTAGTCTAGAAAATCCATTACCCTTTTCCTACCTTCTTCCCCCCCACCTCCCCCACCACAGCCAGTAACAAATGACAAGTTACTGTTGATCTTGGTGATGATATGGTTGTTACATGTTTTGCAAAGGACATGGGAATTAAGGAACTCAGGGTAAGAGGAACTTGGGGTAAAAATATAATGCATTAAGGAAATATTTTTATCTTACAAATGGAGTTTCTTTCTCTCTGGCTCACCTCCACCTGGCCCTCCTGGTATGTTCAGTCTTGTGCTGATATTTTTGCATCCTGCATGCACTTAGTACTCCTTTTCTGAAACATAGTTGGTGTACCATTTTGGGAAGCTAGTGTATTAAGCCTACTAGGGGAATAGTGTGTGCTGGACCCAGAGCAGAATCAAATGGAAAGCTGCTCTCCCTGGCAGCAGTGAAACCACTTCTAATGGACAGCTACTTTGTGCTTTGTTGAGTTCCCCACCCCCATCCCCCCCAACAAGATTAGGAAGGATACATGTGTGGCATTAGGGAGTCAGAAAAATTGACCTTAGTTTCAGGTAGTCTCATACCCTACTTTCTTGCCTTTACCTGGCTCCCTTCTAGTAACCCCATTTAGCCTCTATTTTGGGTGTGATGCTAGCTACCTAAGTAACCACCACTTCCCTTTCCTTCTCTCTCTCTTTTTCCTACAGAAAGATGTAGCACTTAAGCCTCAGGAACGCGTGGAGAAACGCCAGACCCCTCTGACCAAGAAGAAACGAGAAGCACTTACCAACGGCCTGTCCTTTCACTCCAAGAAGAGCCGACTCAGCCACCCGCACCACTACAGCTCAGACCGAGAAAATGACCGCAACCTCTGCCAGCACCTCGGGAAGAGAAAGAAGATGCCGAAGGGGCTCAGACAGGTGAGGATGCGCAGGGCTTGTTCTGTCCTGTGGCTGCTCTTCCTCAGGTGCCTGCTTGTCTGTGATCCTTCCTGACAGGTGGAGAGGAGATCCCTGGTGGGTGCTGGGGGGCTGTCCTGCAGAGCCGTGTGTGTGCTTCTAAAAGAATATCCCCAAACCAAGCACTTGGAAACTTAGCACGGTACCCTTTCAGTTACATGTGTGCTCTGTGTAACAAGACAGGTGCTCGTGCTATTGGCATTGAGGGCAGACTGATGGAGGTCTTGGTGATGGTCCAGGTGGATTGGCTTGCAGGGAGAGATCATCTGGGGTAGGGGAAAGGAAATGGGCACAGCTGATCACATGCACTGTGTATATCAAGGTCCTGAAGTGCTAAAAATTGTTGTCTGTATTCAGGCAGGGGACCCTGCCTAAGATTTTGTATTTTCTAGGAAAGCTCAAATACTGTGGCGTGTGGGAGAGCAGGGGTGAAGAAATGGGTTTTTTTAGGTGTCCTCCACAGCCCATAATTCAGAACTGCCTTTGCGATATGCCGCTTGTATGAAAGCCTGATGGTAGAGCTTACTGGGCTGTTTAATAATTAGGTTTCAATGATCCACAAGAAAATCTAGCTCTTGGCATTTGGGATCCCTTCTGCCTGTGGAAATCCCCAGATGAGATAGATTAATAATGAGAAGCGAAGCTGTTTATAGCAGTGTTTTCAGCACAAATCCAGAGGCTTTAGCACCTGCTGAGTTACCTGTGTCCCGGGTGTGTTTTGTTTGTTTTTGGAGGGACCACGGGATGAGACTGACTGTCTCTTGAAGGAAGCAGAGGAAAGGAGTGTGGTTCAGAGAGCAGGTGCTGCTAATTAGAAGCTGAACAGGTAATTTCTAGTTTGCAGATGTTTCTCTGCAGAGCAAGAAGATCTGGGATCATACAAAACAGTGGTTCTGAAACCTCACAGATGATTAGAATCATATCATGAGCCTTATTAAACATATTCCTGGCTTCACCCTAGAACCTGATGAATCAGAATCACTAGGCATTTTGGCACAGAAGTTTGTAGTCTTAGAAATTTCCCATTTGATAATGGTCAAGCCAGTTTGAAAATCATTCTTATAAAGAATCAAAAACATTTTTCTGGTGATGAATTTTAGTCAAAAGTTTGGAAAAATGAAACTCTAGAAAGATTTAGTGGGCAGTTTGGTGTCAGAGTTGAACTTGATGGGTAAATGTCTGAGAAAATACGTGGAGCGATGGATTTAAGCATGAACTCAGGAGCATCTCAGGAAAGTGTTCTGGATTCTAACACATTTGGCAGTTTTTCTTTGTCCTCAAATAAAATGCCAGATTGGAGTTATAAAAGTAATTACTAACATTTGTCTAATACATAGCACAGTAATCACTCAGTGAAGGAGTTTCTGTAGTATGATCTATAATTTTCACAACAACCCTGGTGAGGAGATGATATGATATTATGGTTACTTTACAGATAGGAAAACTTGGGCTTACAGAAATAAAGTGACTTGTCTGAGGCCACGTGACTGTGAGGGACAGAGCCAGGTTTAGACTAGATTCCTCTGGCCTGCTCTGTGCTTCCTGTGGTTGATATAAGGATTCCAGGTCATGGGGCACAGGGAATCTACAAGTATTTTTAGAAAGTTCATGGGCTCGTTTGGTCAGAGGGAGGGATTGTGGTTATAGAAATGGCCTGTGAAAGCTCAAGAAGAAAATAGGATAAACTCCCAAGTACAGTGAGCATAGAAAAAGAACTTGGAAAGTCAAAGGCAACCACATTTGGATGAAGATTAGAAAAAAAAATTTTTTTTTTTTTTTTGGTCAGAAAGTGGGGTGAGGTCTAGGTTCTGTAAAAAGATAATGTGCCTGTGGTATTTGTTACTTGCAAACCAAGCCTCTCCCTGTGAGCTATGTGGGAAAAGTGGTTTTTCCAATGTCCAGAGATTGCCCTGTGACCACTGCCTCTCCTGGAGGTCCTCCCTCCCACCGGGTGGGAGGAGGGGCTTCCTACCCTTTCAGGCAAGAAATCAGTTTAATTCTGAGCCTCCACAGAGCTGTGGTTCCTTATTTTTGACTCTCTTACTCCCAAGCTTGATCTGACTTTTCTGTTCTTCCTCAAAATTCTTCTTTCTACTTTGTCCTCTAGTTGAAAGAGTCTATGATCTTACAAGAAGGCTAGGACTCGTCTGTCTCAAATTCGAGTAGCTTTTTGGTCTTAATGATCAATCTTCTGGTACTAATGGTATTTGAAATCAAAGTTATCCTTGTTTCAGGGAAAATATTTGAAAAGCAATTAGTCTGAATCACGGAGAAGAAAAGAATGAATTGTATTTTTGGCCCGTGTAAGAGTTTTAAAAACAAGTGGTGTTTTCTTATCTTCAGTGTTGATGCCAAAGTATACTATCCAATTTAAATTTTTTTTTTTTTTTAGTAGGAAGGCAAACCAAAGTTGATAATTGAGGTAAAACTGTAATGCTTTTATTTATAATATTCCTAGCATCATATGTGCTATTATGAAGCCCTGAGCAAAGCACTGTTGCTGCCCATCTGTAAAATGAGAGTTTTAGACTAGAAGGTTTCTCAGTCCCATGATTAAGTTTTTGAATAACACAAAGATACTGAATATATAGTGTTGCTGAAATCTCTAATGGAAGATCATCATAGGCCTGAAAGTAACTTAATTTTGAGGTCTGTAACTGGTTGGCCCTGTGAAAACACTAAGGGAAGAGAATGAGATGCATTCCTGGTTATGTCAGCCCAGGTGAGGGCTGTCCGTTGTATGACCCTTGGTAAAAGATGACACACACATGTGTTTAATGGTTACAGGAGATGTTCCACAACTTGTGCTAAGAGTGTCTGAGACTGCTTTCCTACCATGCCAGATGTCTGTACACATCACAGTTAATTCCACCACTCCATCCATCCCACCCCACCCCACCTTTGTGTCTTATTAGATAAAGTAGCTGAATCTTAACTGTTTTAGCTGCAAGGGGACCTTGAGATGAAAGTGGGCCTTGAGGAGAATTTCTAAAGTAACAGATTGTTGATCAGTGCCTCTCATTGAGGGAGTGATAAAATTGCAAGAGCCACAAATGAAAGAGGGCAGCAAGAGGTGAGAATTTATTCTTTATTTTTGACTTGGCAACAGTGGGTTAGATTTGAATCTTATTAGGAATTGGTACTCCCTAAGCAAGGAACTTAATGTGGAGCTTTCCGTAACTGTTGGACAATGTTACTCCTCAGTGCAGAGAAAATAAAAGGTGTTTGTTTGTTTGTTTTCTGAAACTTCATTGAAGGCAACTAATCTTTTTACTGTGAGAATGCAACTACATACTTTTTTTTAAGAGAGATGTGTAGTTCTGAAACTAGCCCCCCTTTTCCACCTCTTGCCTGATTATAAAACCTCACTTCTCATGAAATTTTTCCATACTGTTAAAGTGTTTTTAACTAGCACTTAGCTACCCCAGTGGAACTTACCTGTTGGGTTATGTTTTTAAATATAAATACATACTGACTTAGAAGATACTGAACTAGTAGCTGTCTTATAAAAGGGTTCCACTTTCTTATATGGCAAATTTGAAAACTTTACTTTAATAAAGGGTTTAAAAAAATGAAGGAAGGGACAAGTTAACTGTTATACAGAAGAGTGCATGTCTTTCTCATCTCCCTGTGCTTATGTTTGTCCTATGCAGAATTATTTGCTCACGATGTGAGTACTCAGACATTATATTACAAAGTTTTGGCTCTTACTAATAAGGATATGGTAGGTTCCTCCCTTCCCCAATTTGACTTAGGAGTAGGAAAATCAAAACAGAGGTTGATAGGTCCTCTGCGTAAGAATCTTTACTCTCTTAATTGGGAAACTACCAAAGAACACAATGAAATCATGGGCTGCCAAACTTTCCAACCAAGTCTTAACTTCTGCAGAAGCTAATCTTCTGGAAAACTTAACTCCTTTAAGGGCTCTGAGTTTAGTTTTCTTTCAGTATGTCTTACTTCCACACCACAGGGGGTGCTTTAAAATTTTAACACTTTGTCATTGTAAACACTGAGAGCCAAGGGGTTTTAAAAATAGAGAAGCGATGGGGAAAAGTTGATAAGGGTTCAGAGAACTCTCAGATTTGGCTCCAAGTGAATATTTCTAAATCTCCATTTAGGCCATTAATCTGTCCTCTCTTTCTCTAGTATGAACTGAATCAGAGGACATAGGCCTAAATGAACTAGGAGGAATTTTTAGGTTATATGAACTTTTCTAACAAACAGACACCAGGATGGATCATTAAAATAAATACCAGAGTCTCCCTCCTAATTGAAGTTTAAGTTCCCAAAAGCCATTCATCTAAGGACAGAATTTCCCAGAGAGAAGCAACCTATTGAGATTGCTTCTAGCAGTAGGTGAACACTTTGGGAGAAACATAAAGAGATTTGTGACTATTTTAGGAGCCCAGCAGTTAGACTCTAACCTTGCTGGTGAGAATGGCTCGTGTGAGAATGTTTTTCATGGTCTAAATATCTTTATACAGGTTGATCTGGGTAGGTTTGGCTTGTAAGGAATGAACATTTTATCCTTTCTTTGAAAATCTGTTATGGTGGAGTCAAACTTGGTAGAGAATTAATAGCTGACACTGTGGATACCAGTGTAGATGTATATTGATTTCTAGGAAGAGAAAGGATTGATCCCAGTGCCAGGTCTTTAGAATTAGAGCTTCACGTGTCTGTGTCTGCTTTGTGAATTGGCATTGCATATTCGCCTTATTTGGAGTAAGTGTTTGTGTTGGTCAAGGGCCCGGGAGATTCACGCCACCAGCTGAGCTTGTACCCACCTGATGAAGCAGTAGGTCTTGCTACACTGTTCACCTTTGAGAGCATTTACTACTGTAGGTGGATCCTTTATCTCAGCGAACTCAGATTGTTGGAAGACTCCTCGGTGACATGACATTTGTTACTAGCAGAAATTCACTTGCAAAGGAGGATTTATAATGGAAAACTTTGATTAAACA